AGCAACGCGCTAGCCACGCCCAATCCAGTAATATGTATCAATGGAACTGACATTTYGTTCTTGACTGTTATCATTAGGAGCTGCAGTGTTGTGGAAATATTGCGAAGATTACAGCACTAATAAGTAGGGATGAACGATGTTACAACYGTATGACCTTTAGAAAATACGCAATATGATTTTGAAACTTAAAATCCTAAAAAAGCAGCATGCAGTATTATTGAGACGGGGTATGGTCTGTGGTGTGTTGTGGCATACAGTAGTTTGACTTACAAAAAACCTGCAGCTGGGTGTTCCCTGAAGTTGTCAGTCAGCYCTACTCTGGCCCTCTMTTCARGAGTAWAGTTTCTGTCACTACCTCGCTCYGAGGTTWAGAGGCYCAGCCTGCCCTGAACTTTAGCAGGGGCTAAGGAACYTGACAAAGAGGTGCTGGAAAAAAAATGAGACATATATGGATGTGCATGTGTAACTGCATAGCCATAAATAATTAAGGGCATGTATCCCCCTAAATCCGGCCCTGGGCGCAACAGATGGGTTTGCCTCTGTCTCCACCCCCGTCCTGTCTTCTGAATGGACTGAGYTGGTCAGAACARGCATCAGTAAGATTATAGGGCATCTTCTGAAAGAGCCTAGAATGTTTGTCCCAGTTTTCATAGCAGTGTTGTGGAAATTTCCGGGAAATTTGGTACATCACCTCAAGTGACTAATACCATCATAATTTTTTAATACCCAATGCTTACATTTATCAATTTGCTACATGTTGGAACTAATTCTAAAAAATTACAAAAGTACCAACGCCCCCCAGCCCCACCGGCAGTACCTTCACATCCCCAATTAGGGGTTGCGACCRCATTGTTGAAGAAATCAGCTTATTACAAAAATAAGCTTCATGTTACTTTTAGCAAAAAAATACATGTACGTTGGATTTTTGGGTGGTAATTGTATCAAGTAATCATCTAAAATTATTGTTTTTTGTTTTGTTTTCTTTGGGAACATTTCAGGAGAAAAATGCATTCTGGTGAAAAATCGGTGGTTTAAACCCACTGAGTTTGAGAAGTTTGCAGGGAAAGGAAGCTGTAAGAACTGGAAGTTAAGCATCCGATGTATGGACYTCCCGCTAGGAAAACTCATCAAGGTTTGATTTTTAGAGCTGTGAAGMACTACTTCAGTTTATTTTTGTGCATTTGGTGATCTACTTCACTCTCCTGATAGGACGGTCACCTGAAGTCAGTACGCTACAAAAGAAGAAGAAYTCAGGTAACAAAGTGGTGAAAACAAATGTTTTCTGATCAGATTTTTTTTATATAGTTTTGCTGATTTCAACAACATTAATTTCTTTTTTCCTGCCAGGCAAAGAAACATAGTTCATCCTCCAGTCATTCATGCACAGGTTTGTTGTTTTAGTGTTGAATACGAAGTTTAAGGTAACAGAACTGTGGTCCCACAAGCTGCTCTGGAGTCCTCTGTTACGTCCAATAAAATATTAAAGTTATGAGATCTGAGGCTAAATTAAAGCAAGTATTCGTAGATAGTTTCATCATCAATTACTGTATATTGTTATTAATACTGTATCTGTTTTATGTTTCAAGCTTTTACATAATTAATGTGTTTTAAAGGGGCAATATTATGTGTTCCTCAGGCATACATTTAAATACTATACCATAATAAAGTATCTATGTCACCTTTAGTTGTTATTAAAATGCTGTTTTTATGTTTAAATAGAAAATAAACTTATCTTCTCATCACTTCCTCTTCTAAACGCTTTGAAATTGGCCTCCATCTCTTTAAGAACCACCTTCCGCTTCTGTCCCATAAGTTTCGGTGGGGGGTCGCTATGATGCAGTTTACTTGGCATCTGAAAATACATTTCCTCAAAGGTATTTTGAATCTGAAAAGAGCTTCACTGAGTGAGAAGTAGTGTTAAGAGCAGCAGACAGTTTAAGTTTCACTTTCACTTTGCTTTGTTACTGCCGAGAGCCTGCAGGAGTCACGGGCGGGGTGTGTGGGGGTGGGGGGTTTGGAGATGTGCTCCGTGATGAGGAAGTTCAGCTTAAAGACACGTTCCAGGGGCGTTTCTGGTCCCAAAAGGCGTTTGTGGTCCCCACCTGTCGTTTTGCTCCTCAGCACGGCTGCCTAAAAACACTGCAGGATTTCTCAAACATGCATGAATGAGACTTTGGGCATGTTTTTTATGAGAGTATAACATTATAACATGATATAAAACTCAAAAAAGTTGATTTTACATGATATTGCCCCTTTAAATGTACCTACTTGAGAGGAAATCTTTGTTTTATTGGCTAAAATATTGTTTCAGGGTCTGAAGAAGAGGGTGAAGATATAGAGGATAACCAGGAGGATGAGGTTTTATCAAGTGAAGAAAAAAATTCAACGGACACCACAGGTGCTGATTTCCACAAATTGTTGGGGCAGAAAAGAAGACACAATGTAACAGTTCCTGTGTTTATGTGTTATATTCATTCATGTGTTCCTCATACAGGAGAAGAAGACATGAAAGATCAGGACGAGCAGCAGCCGGAACCCAACCCTGACTGTTCTAAAGGGATTTTGAAAGTGACATGTGGAGCTTTATCTGGGAGTTTAAACAAAATTCGATTTGCTTCAGGTAACTACCCCCCGTCCCCCGTAAAACAACACATTGTTTATCATGTTTCATGCTCTGCAGTTTTGCTGTCAGAGATGCGTGCTCTGATGAACWGTGTAAATGTGCACCGACTGATCTTCTCTCCTTCATTAGGCAGATGTGGGAAAAGTATTCGCACAGAGATGAGCTGGTTGACCCCAGAGGAGTTTGTTAAGGAAGCATTGGGTCATGAAAATGGCTCCTGGAGGAAGGACATAGAGTATAATGGAAAGCCACTCTGTTCCGTCATCGAGGTAAACATAGTCAGGGAGGTGTCAAAAAACACATTTTGTTGTCATCACAAAGAACAGATTTCTTGTATCTTGAATTGTTAACTGTTATATGAAATATTTATGAAATAAAAAAAATAGTATCCTACCAAATCTTTTTCCCCTTTGAAACTATATGAACCCTTAGACCAGATGTGTCAAACATAAGAAATAAATAATACAGAAATACTGTTAAAAGTAAGAGTTTAACTCACTCACTATTGAGTTGTGGTGAGTAGTAGCCGTCTTGAATTCTGAACTCTTCAATTTTCCCACAGAGAATTCCCACTGGATTGGTGTTCCATTTTAAATTTACAATTTGTAAGTGGGAAGTTCCCACTTCCCAGTACAGCTGGGCAGCAACAAAAGTAGCTGCCCTAAATGCAACGAAATTGAGATTTTACAAAACAAATTTCACCGGTTATTTTTGAACACTGGAACATTTTGGGTAAAATAATCAACATACATTCTGGGAGGTATAGTTTATGGTCAGCGCTGGCTTTAAAGGGGACCTATTATGCAAAATACACTTTTTAAAGGATTTTTTTTACTCAACTTTGGGTATGTACTTCTTAAAAAAAACAGTCCTAGGATGAAAAAAATGCACCCAGGGGCATATTTACTGTAAGTAAATGTATTTTTAATGTATATTAACAACAAGTTTTATACTTCCGTTATTTTGTGATGTTACAAGCTGTACGACAACCCACTGGAACCTGCATTCAGCCCCTTACCTAGCAACCCCCGGGTGAGACCCCACCTCAATAGAAAAAACTGTCACGGTGTTGTTATGCAATGCGTAGCTCATTTCACAACAAGCCTCCAATAGGGCAATGGGTAGAGTGTTGGACCAGAGAGCAGGAGACTAGGGTTCGAAACCGGCATGTACACAATTTACTTATTTATTTATTTTCGTTCGTTATGAACACATTGTCTCATGTACCTCTATTGTTTAGCTTATTAAAGCCTTGTTAAAGCTTATTTGTTTGATTTTCTGAGGTATTTTGACTGTTGCTGCTGCTCCCTGCTCTGATAACAGCATGCAGAGTGAGCGCAGAGCAGAGGGAGAGAAAAAAAGAAGAAGCTGCGACCGACTCGACGATTTGTCAAACCCTGCAAATTAACTACCTTTAACTACGTACTGTCATTCAGATGTAACATATGTTAACGTCAGGATCATTTTCACAGGCTTGAAGTAAAAAATGCATTCAACTTAACCTTTCTTAGGTACCTTTCTTTCGCCTTTTCTCTCCCTCTACTTCGGACTGTCTCCTCTAGTTTTGTTTAACTCTCGAGAGCAGCAGCACACAGCAGCCAGCTTTGCAGCCAGTCAGGCAAGAACCAGCGGTGTTGGTTTTTCAAAATAAAGTAAATTTTAACGTTTCATGATATTTAAATACATTTAACTCTGATTATGGTTAGTATAAGTATATAGTATATGGTTAGTATTTGGTTGGTGTGTAAATATAGGATATAAATATATATGATATGCTTTACATTGTTTTAATGTATTATTTAAAAAAAATTAATTCTGAAGGTGTGGTGGCTTTTATTTTGCAGTGGCGGTGCGCCACAATCATTTACATGTAGAGGAAACCGTGTAATTTAATGTCCTGATGCATCTCAGTAATCCAGGTAAAAAAAATCAAAAGGAAAAAAATTGTATAGGTCTTCTGGACGGGTTCTTCTCTAATGAAACGTTTCGTCTCTTCTCCAAGAGACTTCTTCAGTCTGAGAGTTTCAGGCAAACTTCGTGTAATTTAATATTTCTCTTTCAGGCAAAAGTGTTGAATTTGCACTCACTGCTTTGCTCTTGCCAACTGTGCAAACCGGAACCTGAAGACCTGGTAAGCCTGACCATCAGGGTTCCCTTAAACACTTATGTTAGCAAAGATCTAAGTAGCATTTAGAGCATTTTTATAAATGAGGAACCTTTAAAAGAATTTTGCACTACAGTTGAATATGACTGAACTCATGGATCATTCATCTTGGCAGGACGACCAGAAAAATGACGATGAATGTTTCATCTGTAAAACTGATGGCGTGTCTGTTTTGGTGGAGTGCGATCACTGTCCGAGATCCTTCCACCAGACGTGCCACATGCCTCATATAGAAGAGAAAGTTAAAAGGTGGGTTTTGATTAGACTGAGTAACAAATTTACAAAATGTGTGGTGTGAAGGCAGTTATGATGCAGTCTAATTAGCAGCAGCAGCACTCGTCTCTGTTCCTTTAGCCTCTGTTTCAGTAGAGGCTTTTCAGCTTCAAGACCTGGGCTTGGGTCATGGTCATTTTTTAGCAAAAACAAAACCGGCAGCGGTCAAATATTCTAAAATGGCAGCTGAGATTAGCAAACTATCATATCCATAAACCATATCGTACTGTAACTATAAACATTTTCAACGAATGATTATTTTAATAATCGATTAATCTGTCTATTATTTTTTCGATTAATCGGCCAAATCATTAAAATGCTTAATTACTTGAGTAGATAAAATCTAATTTCATTCCTGTATAAAACAGGGATGCAAGTTATTTATTGATTAATTAATCTGAAGTTGATTTATCTTATAGATTGACTAACAATTAATTGATAAGCAGCCATTTTCTTAAAAACCGGAGTTTCCTCTTTAATCAAGAGGGTCTTTCCATAAAATGAAGGATTTTTTTATATCCTGAATTTAAAAACGGAAGCACATCATAACTATTTTAACAATTTATTTTGCCAGTTGTATTAAATACTGACTGAAAAAAAATGTGTATTTGTCAAACATGAAACATAACAGAAATTTAATAGGTTGCTGAATGAGGAAAATAGATTAAAAGAATAAAATATGATTTTTTAGATGTAAAACTATTATTAATTTATTATAATTAGAATTTATTTACATTTAACATTTATAATTTTTCTCTAATTCTTTACTTTTTGCTTCATTCTTGTTGGTTCTGTGACTAAAACATTGTTCGACCCAGTAAGC